CCCCCCCCCCCCCCCCCCGGTCAGACTGAGTCAGGCAAGTGCTGGCTCACTGCCACAATGCTAGCTCTGAAGAACCAGAGGGGCCCAGTGGCCTGTACTAGCCCACGGGGCCACGCAGACCGCCCTCCTCAGCCCCATCCGGGCCTCCGGAGGGCCAACGGGCAGACAGGTGGGCCGACAGGGGTCCCAAGGGAGCAGGGTGCGGGCGGGCGGCCCGGCAGGGGAGCCCGGTGGTCAGGCATGCCCAGCTCTGCCCTCTGGCCCCGCTCCTGGCTGAGGGCTTGGCCTTCCTCCGTCCCCGCCCTGGTGCAGGCGGGCAGCGGCGGGCAGATCCGGATGCTGTGGGATGCGGGTGGAGCCACGAACTCCCTCTCCAGGTGCTCCGGGCAGGTCGGCCCCAGTCCGGGGGACACGCGGGGTCCCAGCCCAGAGAGGACTGCTCGGGGAGACCCCGCAGACAGGAGGCCACGGGGACGGGCAGCCCCGAGGCCCGCGGAGCCCTGGCCTCCTCATGCCCTCTGTCACCGACCTGTCACCTCCCTTGGCGGGCAGGCCCCAGGGTCCTCGGAGAGTCCGCCCCGTGCCAGCCTCAACTGTCAGCCTCCGTGTGAGCGCCTGAGAAGCCTTTTTTGGGGGCTGAATTGCCTCGATTTCCCCCCCTCGGCTGGGCCCGCTCCAGGGCTGTGCGTCCATGAGTGAACAGGCAGCTTTGTTTCATTAATTGTCCCCGTTGGAAAAACTCCGGTATTAATATTTATGAGAAATGACCTAATATCCACGCTGCCTGCCGTGTGTTTGCTTAACATATTTAACGTGATTTGGGGGCTATGTTTACTTTTCAACTGCCTCAGTGAGGGGGCCTGACCTGCGTCTCCCCACCGTGGAGAAGCGGCGATGTGAGCCCCGTGGCCTCCAAAGTCCGCGTTTGTGACGCCTCGGGGAAGGCGCCCGGGACCCCCCACTTGGCCCGGCCCTCGGGAGGGAGTCCTGCGGGAGCCGTGGCGCCGGGTGGGGGTCCCCTGAGCTCTGCAGCTGTGTGCCATCCAGGTCCCAGCCTGGCAAACCCGGGGCAGGAGCAAGGGGGATTTCTCCGGGAAGAGAAGAAAAAACATTTGAGCGGTTTCTGAAAATAGCTCCTTAGGCAGTTATAAGACAGCAATTTAAGTAAGTGCTTTCTTCCAGTTTCTCCTGAACATAAAGGTAATTGTTTTTGCCCTGGAATAGATGGCCGGTTTTACTATAAATCGATTCTTTTAACATCCCTTTGTGCACTGCATTAGCTAATGTGGTGTGGCGGGCCAGCCCCACGGGGGTGGCAGGGACCGCGGGTGCCCTGGCCCGGGCCGTCCGACCCGACACCAGGAAGGATGTGTTCTGGGAAGACCCGGACCCGTGCGGCTGGATCCCGGCTCTGCTGTGGCACCTTCCCGAGCCCCCGCTGGGTAGAGGGGCGTGAGGACGAGGACCGCCTCTGGCCCCAGTTGTTGGCGTGAGTGTTAGAAACGGTGCCCCGTCCACTCTGGCCCTGCGTGGGTGGTTGGAGCGGCCAACCTGGGTGGCCGTGGGGACCTGGGTCCCACCTCTCCCATGTGGCTCAGAGACTCCAGGAGCTGTTCCCAAGGGGCTCCCGCAGGGTTGTCCTCCCTCCTCCCTGGCGAGCCTGGCAGGCGACACCTCAAAGCCAGCCTGTTGCCTCGGAGACCCCGAGGTGAGTCTGGACAGGGAGGGGCCCGTGCCCGGCCCGGGGGTCACCACGCAGGGGCGATTAGGACCAACACGTTCACCGAGTGCCATCCTGAGCGTTCCGGGCCGTGAGGTCTCTGCGATGTGTCCAGGGACATTCTAACGGAGAGACCCGTGTCCTGACTGCTCACCTAATAAGGAATAAAAGGGGACATCGAGAGCGACCCCTCCACCCCCACCACGAGGTGCCCCTTCCTAGGCTTGAGACATGCACCACACCTCCCCCCACGGGGCACAGAAATGATGTGGGAGGGGCGAGGGGGAGGGGGAGGGTGTCCCGGTGCCGCCTGCCTGCTGGGGGTCCGGCAGCCAGGGGTGGGATGTCCACGTGATGCTCGAAACCCACCGCAGGAGACCGGGCAGCACCGGTGGCCGGTCGTGACCTGGGCCCCGTGGTCAAGCTGAACACCTGTAGTGCCTCAGCCACCCTGAGGGGTGGACACCGTCTCCCCATTTTATCGCCTCAGCACGGAGGCTTCGGGGACTTTCAAAGCCAAAGCCCACAGCTTCCTGGGCCTCTCAAGCACACCTGCTCACGGTACAGCCTCAGACTTAAGACATCAGACGAAACCGCTGCCCCTGCTCCGGGGTGTCGGTCAGCCGCCTGGACCTGTCCGCTCCCTCCCGACCCAGCCGCCCCGTTGTCTGTCTTCTTTTGCCCGGGGAAGGGGTGACACCCACAGCCCCCCCCCCCCCCCCCCAGGGAGCCAGCACGGCAGGGTGGGCAGTGAGACCTGAAGGGGAGAGGGGCCGGGACCCGGCAGGGGACCCTGCACGTGTGACGGAATCTTTCCCTGCGGAATAAAGATGAGGCTCCCGGCCCCGATCCGGCTGCCCGCCGAGCCCGGCCCCAAGGCCCCCGGGAGAGGACACCAGCACGCGTGATCAATCAGCCCAACGCTTCCCAACGTGCTTCTCGAGTTACACGCCACAGGGATGAGGTCATAGCGGCTGCCAGCCCGAGCCAGGGAAGGAAGAGGCCCCTCTTTTTCAAACCAAGGGCCAGCACAGGCCAGCTCTTAGTGCCTCAGAATCCCTCTTCTTGGCTTTGGGAAGGGGACGGCTAGTGCTGGAATCCCTGCCTCAGGTCACGGGAGCAATTCATGCTCACTGCAGAGGATTTGGAAGATCCAGAAAAGCAAGAGGAGAAAGACGATATTCAGAATCTCACTCCATTACATTGCCTTCTAGTGTTTTCCATCACACGGCTCTACTTACCTGCCTATCTACTACTCATTAATCCATCCATCCTCCATCCTTCCTTCCTTCCTTCCTTCCTTCCTTCCTTCCTTCCTTTCTTCCTTCCAACCACTCATCCAGTTACACTTATCTATCCATCCATCCATCCATCCATCCTTCTATCCATCTGTCCGTCCATCCATCTATCCATCCATCCATCCATCCATCCATCCATTCAACCATCCACCCATCCATCCATCCTTCCATCCATCTGTCCATCGTTCTATCCACCCAGTCATCCATGTAGCCACCATTGTTCCTTCCTTCCTTCCTTCTTTCCTTCCTTCCTTCCTTCCTTCCTTCCTTCCTTCCTTCCTTCCTTCTAAACATCCATCCATCCATCCATCCATCCATCCACTGGTTCATCCATCCATATTTTCTTTCATCCATCCATTTATCCATCTGTCATCTTTTCAAACATCCTTTCTTCTTGATGATGCCCCTCAATTTGCCCGAACGTATTTCCTAGATTCAGCTGCGGAGGGAAAACATCAGGTCACAAAATAATGTGCTGGTCACAGGAGGTATGGGGGTGGGAGGGAGCGGCGATAGTGGGATACCTCGTTTTGTGCATGTGAGAAGGACGGTGTGTGAATGTATGCGTGTGCGTGTGACTGTGTGCACATCGGTACATGTGTCTGAGTGTGTGCAAGTGTGTATGCGTGCCCCCACAGGGAGGGGGGGCTGGGAGGATGCAGCTGGTGGGTACGGTGGGAACCCCGCGTGGGCCTCCCGTGAGAACTCCCTCGGCCCTGCCGTCAGCCAGGACGTCCATCTCTCAGGCCCCAGGGAGCCGCCCCACACCCTGCTCTGGCCACCTTGTTTGGGCCAGGGGCACGTCCAAAGTCAAGATGGATGAACACGTCTTTGCTTGTCATGCAGCCGGCCGTGCGTGTCGGAGCCCGCTCTCCCACACATGGTCCACGTTAGCTGCCTCCCCTGACTTGTGTCCATGAAGCGCCTGGCCCTGGTGGTCAGTCCCCGCCCCCACCGCCAGCCTACCTCCATTTCTAATTGGGCCGCAAAGCCGTTTAATGGTGTCTGCGAGGCTGCAGGCTGCTCGGGGCAGAACAATGCGCTATTCATGTCCAAACAGAACACTAGTGATCGGGCTAATATCTTGAAGCTAAAAAGCAAGGCTTAATTGCGACAGATGCTGCAAATTCCAGTGCAAAAGGCCAGCTCCTATGTGATCTAAACCAGGTATGTGCCAGGGGTTCATTTTAATAGCGGCTTTTATTTTTTTTATTGGCATATGCAAAACTCACTAACGTTCTGCACAACAGACCAGCAACGGTCTCTTAGGAAACCTCCCCAGGGAAGAGCCCCACAGACCTCGGTTGCTATTGTGTGGGTTACAGGAGACCCCCTACCATTTGGCCAGCTGTGTCCTGGCGGACCCTGGTCTCTCCTCTTCCCTGGGCCAAGATTTCGGGTCTTTCTAGACCACTGCAGCCACCAGTGCATCTGCCAAACGTGCTCAGAGGCTGTGGGTCCTCGCGGATGTGGCCTCCCCTTTGCCAGACAGCGTCCTACCCTCCCAACGCCCACTGGGCTCTTTCCTGCTCGTATGCTCCTGACGTGCAAACACCTGGCTTTACTCTGAAACTGTAGCTGTTGGACAGGGTGCTCCTGTTTTTAATATCTTAGCTGAATCTTCCAATCTAGGAGGAAAGTTCCGGAAGCCAGGGGCTGCTTGTGGTTTCTACAGTGTCTAGGACCTTGCTGAGAAGAATGGGCTTCAGTTTTCATGACTTCCACTTTCTCAGAAAAAGATACCAATCCCAAAGCTCCCAGCTCTCCCCGGGACTAGGGGAGGGCCTGTGTCCTTGCTGTTCCGAAAGGGCCCTTGCCCTGCGTGCCCCATCCAGTCCGGGGTGGACTCAGAATATTCCTAAAAGTGAGCCTGACAAGGAGGGCCTGGAAGCTGAATCCAAAGCTCACTGTTGCTCAGACAACTGAAGCTGCCCCCTCCTGACCCACTTCTGGAGGTATGGAAACTGCTTTGGATTCCTTAGAACATGCTTTCTGTTGTCGTAAAAGCTAAACTGAATGTGGCTTCCTGGCCAGTGAGGACTGTGATTCCATTCACTGGGGCTCCTGAGACCCCAAGGGAGCTGTTGGTGGGAGTTTTCTGAATAAATACCCCAAGAGGAAACCTCAGCTTCAGGTAGAGTCAAAAGTTGCAGAGACTGCCATCAGTTTACTCCAATTTACTCGTCTATTTACCATTTACTTATCCCTTCATCCATCTGTTCTCCTACCCAACCGTCCATCTACTTATCCAACCATCCATCCACCCATCCATCCACCCAATCATTCATCTGTTCACCTGCCCACCCATCCACTTAGCCAGCCAGCAGCCAGCCAGCCAGCCAGCCAGGCATTCATCTATCCATCCATCCACTCATACATATATCCATCCATTCATCTGTCCACCCATACATCCATCCATCTGTCCACCCAGCCATCAACCCACTCATTCATCTATCCATTCATCCATCCATCCATCCATCCATCCATCCATCCATCCACCCACCCACCAACCCACTCATTCATCCATCCATCCACCCACCCACCAACCCACTCATCCATCCATCCATCCACCCATCCATTCACCCAATCATTTGTCTGTTCACCTGCCCACCCATCCACTTATCCATCCATCCATCCATCCAGCCAGCCAGCCAGCCAGCCATCCATTCATCTATCCATCTATTCACTCATACATACATACATCCATTCATCTGTCCATCCATACGTCCATCCATCTGTCCACCCACCCACCAACACGCTCATCCATCCATCCATCCATCCATCCATCCATCCACCCATCCACCAACCCACTCATTTCATCTATCCATCCATCCATCCATCCATCCATCCAAGAAGTATTTACTTGGATCCTACTAAGTGTTCAACAATTCCCTTCTGGAATTATGGCAATACACCACCCTCTCTTGGGCTATGGGGTAGGCCATGGGGCTTGCACCAGTGGCTGGTGGTTCAGTGAAGACCAGAAGAACCGGGAAGTCAGTGAATAAATTGCATGTGCACAGAGACCAGATGAAGAAGAAGCCCTCTGTCTGGGACTGGGGCCGGGCACCTGGAGGCCCTTCCTGCAGGAAAGGCTCTCCCTGTCCAACCCAAATCCCCCAAGAAATCCCTTTTCAGGCCCAGGATCTGGAAAACCTCCAGATAATTAGTGGGCAGGGAGGAGGGGGGCTTAACACCGGGGAAGTGAGAGTCAGGGGCCATTAACTAGGGGTGGCCCAGGCTCCACAGCCTTCCTCTCCCTCCCTCTACGGTGCCCCGGGCCAGAGAAATACAGGCCAAGTGGAGCAGTGGCCCTCCTGTGACCCCCACCTGTGGGAACCTGGGCCCAGCATTCCACGAGCTTCGGACTCTCCTTTGAACGGTAGCCGAGCACTTGCCCACGGTCACAACAGGGATGGACCACAGTGACCGCTGTGGTCCAGGTGGCCTGACGCTCGGTCTGGCTGAGCGAGATCTCTGGTGGGGTGGCAGGCTGTAGGAGTCAGCGGTGTGGGGACAGCCTCCCCGTGCCAGCACTCATTCCATAGACTTCCTGCGTGGTGTCCTCCGGTGGGGACAGTAAGAGGGACTGGGGATACCCGGGACCAGGGAGCTGGGACCAAAACCCAAGGCTGTTCCTCTAGGGACCCTTAGGAAGACGCACCGTACCACATCCCCGTGGGGGAGATGCAGGCAGAGGGGCACAGGGGCCTCGCTCGGGGGAGGGGAGCCAGGCTGTGTTCTCATTTCCGTCGGCTTCTTCACAGGACTCTTCCGCCTTGGAATCTTACAAGCATAGAGAAAAGTACAGAGAACAACAGGCAACCCCCCTACTCACACTCCCGCCCACCTTTGTCACCTTTATCTCGTTGGACAGCCCTTGATTCCGTCCTGTTTCCACTTGGAATCTCTCAGATTTGGTCTCGATCGTTGCCAGGCCTGGTTTGTACTCTTCCGCTGGGCATCGCACGTCTAGTCCTGCTTTGCATGTGGTCTGGACGGGCTGTAAGTGGCTTCCCGTGTGATGTGCTGTCGGGTGGAGCACCCGTTGGGAGGAGCGAGGCTACACCCCGCGGTGTTCACCCGCTGTCCTGGTGATGGCATTCGGGGCTATTCCTGCACGCGATTCCTGGGTGCACACCAGTGAGCTCTTTTAGGGAACGCACCTAATGGTGGGATTGCTGGCAGAAGGTGTGACTTTACAGACGAAGCTGGCCAAATGACACGGGGGGTTGTTGGACCGACTCGGGGGCCTCTGGCCCCAGCGGTGTGAGAGAGGTCGCCCCCGCTTGGTGCCTCAGACCCTGTGTGGCTGCCCATCGGGCATCTGTGGGGCAGCCTAATTAACATTCCCTCCTGCCTGCTGACTTCGAGCATCGCTGCCTCAATGCCCAGGCGGTTGTTTCTGCATCCATAAAACACTCATAGCCTTTGCCCATTTTTCTGTTGGAATGTCTTATCTTTTCTGTTTACTCTTGATTTTTAATTTTTTTATAATGTTTATTTTTGAGAGAGAGAGAGAGAGAGAGAGAGAGACAGAGAGACAGAGCATGAGCAGGGGAGGGGCAGAGAGAGACGGAGACACAGAATCCGAAGCAGGCTCCAGGCTCCGAGCTGTCAGCACAGAGCCCGACGTGGGGTTCAAACCCACGAAATGCGAGATCATGACCTGAGCCGAAGTCGGACGCTTAACCGCCTGAGCCACCCAGGTGCCCCATTCTTGATTTTTAAATGAACATTTATAAAAATACAACACCACACAGAAAAAAAAGGTGCAAGTCGTAAGTGTGCGATTGAATGCATTTTCAACAACTGGGCACACCCGTTCACTCGGAACCCAGACTGAGAAAAAGAACATTCCAGAACCCCAGAAGACGGCTGGGTCCTTCCTGGGGAAGGACCTTTACACCCCCACCTTTGCACTGAAGGTAGTGACTGTCCTGACTTGCACTGCTGTGGACACGTTGCTATTCCTGAATTCTGCGCGAGTGGAGTCACGCAGCCTGCTCGGCCGTGTCTGGTCTCTTCTGCGCCATGTTTGTGTGTGGGGTGCACGGTGTCATTGCCAAGAATAATCACCAGGGCCTTCTTGTTAATAATCACCGTTGCCTTCTTGTGCCTTCATAGTGGCCCCTTGTTTAAATGCGTGATAGATTTGGGGCGCCTGGGTGGCTCAGTCGGTTGAGCGACTGACTCAGGCTCAGGTCATGATCTCGCGGTTTGTGAGTTCGAGCCCCGCGTCGGGCTCTGTGATGACAGCTCAGAACTTGGGACCTGCCTCAGATTCGGTGTCTCCCCCTCTCTCTACCCCTCCCCTGCTCGTGCTCCGTGTCTCTCTGTCTCTCAATAATAAATGTTAAAAAAAAATTTTTAATGCACGATAGATCTGTACATTTTAACATTGATGAAGCTGGGTCATTTCCGGTTTTATGATATTTTGATTGAGGGTCATATCAACCACCTTGTAAATGCCTTTTGATTCGCGTGGGCGCCATTTCTGTTGGGCATCAGCACCTGGATCTGAGTGACGTTCTGGTTTTAGCGGGACTTCCAAACAGTCTCTCACAGGGTCCGCCCTACTGCAGACCCTCTGGCCGCGCACGGGGGGGCCTGTCGTTCCCCATCCTGCCAGCACACGGCCGGCTGAGGTGTGCGGTGGTGCTCACCGTGGCCTTGACTTGCATTTTGCTGCCGACTAAGAAGGCCGGGAGCTGTTCCGGGTCGTCTGGCCCTGTGGTGTCCCTCCCTCATCTGGGGCCTGTTCAAGACTTTTGCCCACCTTCCTGTAGGGTTGCCTGTTGTTTGTGTCCTCTGCGAACACCAATTGTATTGCCACAGGGGTGCTGTTCCACGTGCCGGCTTGCTCTTTTCTCTCATAGTAGCATTTTTTAATGATTGAAATTCAATTCTACACAGTTCAGTTTATTACTCCCTTTCTTATGTTTAGTCCTCTGAGTGCTGCTTAAAATCCCGGCCTGCCCACGGTCGTGAACATACTCCACGATGTCCTCTGGAAGCTTTATCGTTGTTCCTTTTACATTTACAGCTACACCCCATCTGGGTATATTTTTTTGCATGGTGTGAGGTAGGGACCAATTTTCATTTTCTTCTGCAGGTGACTATCCAATTGACCCAGGACAATTGCTTAACAATGTCTTCCTCTCCCCACTCCTCTGTGCTGCTATTTTGTCAGAAGTCAAATGTCCATATGATGCATCTGCTTCCAGACTCTTCTGCTTTGTGAGTCTGTAAGGATGGGAATAACATCAAAATGGAGCTAGTCGCTTGTAAGCAGAGACAGAAAGTGTAGCAGCCCCTTAGGCTGCGTAACAAATACCACACATCGGGTGGCTCACAACACCCCCTTTTTATTACCTCAGAGTTTCTGAGTCAGGAGTCAGGGTACAGCCTGGCTGTTCTCTGCTCAGGACCTCGTGTGACTTCAGCCAAGGTGTCTGCCAGATTGCGTTCCCTTCTGTTAGGGGTCCTCTTTCAAACTTATGTCATTGTTGGCAGGAATCAGTATTTCCTTGCTGGCTGGTCTGTTCTCAGCTCCCAGAAGCTACTCTCAAATCCTCACCATGTGGCCCCCTCCATCTTTAAACCCAGCAGCATAGACCATCCCTCTCATGCTTCAAATCTCTTCTTCCAGAACAAGCCTACTCCCTTTAAGGGACCACCTGATTAGGTGAGGCCCACCAGGGAACATTTCCCTATCAGCTGATTCAGCACTTAATCACATCTGCCGATGAAATTCCTGCTCCCACCGTTGTGTTGTGGGTGTCTGTCTGGGGGGGGGGTATATGACGTGTCTTCTCCTGCTCTGTAGGGAGGCACATCCAGACCTGGAGAAGAGGACCACATGTTGCCGAGAGATGGAAACATATTTGCTCTCATAGCAGTAGAATTGTTGGCTGTGTGCTCAACATGACTCAGCTCAACATGATTCAGCTGCCCGAGGTAATAAGCCCCACAGCCCGGCCTCCCTTGTAGGTAGTCGTGGCCAAGCTAACGATGTCACTAACAGCGGTGGAGTGACATGTGCAATTCCAGGACTGTTTTGGGATGGTGCACAGAAGGATGTTCGGGTTTTTTGGTTGTTTGTGTTTTTGTTTTCTCAGCTTCTGCTCTACACAGACATGTGGTTGTGATCTGAATCCTCTTGGACCAGACAGCCGAAGGCCATACCCCAGAGGCGATGAAGACAAAGCAGAAGGAGGCTGGCTCCTCGGATAATCTCCTGAAAGGGAGCTGCCATGCCAGCCAGATGGCAAGGGAGAATTAAACCTTATGTGTTCAAGCCACTTTTGTTCTGTCGAACGCTTTCAAGCCTGAGCTCAGTTAATACTCATGGCAACTAATTTGAGTCAGACTTCCTACTGTTAAACCAGCCTTGCATTCCTCTGGTAAATCTACTTGGGTCATAATATTTTGTGTTTTGCTTGTATGCATGTTTCACATTGCCGGATTTAATCTTTAGATTATTATTTATGATTTTTACTATGATCATAAATGAATCTAGCCTATAACTTGCCCCTTCTTGTGCTGTCCTTTCCCAATCTTGATTATCAAAGTGATTTTAGCTTCACTAGATGATTTGGGCAGGTGTTTCTTGTTTCTAGTTTCTGAAACAGTTGATTCAGAATCGCGATGTTATACTTATCAAATATTTCAGAGACCACCCTCTAAAATTCGTGGATTCTGATGATATATTTTATGTGTATATTTGGAATTATCTTTAATGGGCAGGGATTTGTTTTTCCAGATAGTTATGTTTACTTTTTTGCTTCTGTTTTTAAAAACCAAATGATGGACTTTGTTTGGATTTCACCAGGTTTCCTGCTAAGGTACTTGTTATGAGCCAGGACCCAGTCCCGGATCCCACAGGGATTTTGTTTTCTCATGATTACATTGTGGTGGTGGATTTGGGGGGAGGGAGTTCTATGGCCTCGATGCTGTACGTCAGGGAGCCTGGGCTGGTGCCACAGCTTGTAGCAGTGACATTAACCTTCATCTCTGTCAGGGTTTACACTGCAAAATCGCAATTTTTCCGTTTGTATTTGAGGAATGCTTTAAGGCTGCCCAAACATCCCATTTCTCCGTAAGCTTTTACCCGCTAATTCTAGCTTCCATGGGTGGATCTTGCCTACAGCGGTTATCACCACGGTTTTGTAGAGGTGATTTTAAAATTGCCATCCATCCAACCATTTTATGTGTATTAATCGGAATATTACCGTGAAGACTTGCCCGTTTCCTTCCTTCCTTCCTTCCTTCTTTCTTTCTTTCTTTCTTTCTTTCTTTCTTTCTTTCCTTATTAAAAGATTTTATTTTTTTATGTGATGTCTACACCCACTGTGGGGCTCGAACCCTCAACCCCAAGATCAAGAGTTGCCCGCTTCTCTGACTCAGCCAGCCAGGCGCCCCCTTCCCACATTTATTTATTTATTCAATCATTTGCTTATGGACTTGTAGATATCTTCCCCTCTGGGTTTTAATCAAATACTAGTATTATTTATTTTCTTATTCAAATTGTTTCAGCTTTGGCCGGTGAGTGCTTTCTGATTGGTTCCTGTGTCCTTGAGATATACCTCGCTCAAATTTGTTCTTCTTCTCTCCTCCCAAGATTGTTTATTCTGGGCCTTTTGCATTTCCATATGACTTTTAGGATCATTTATCAGGTTCTGTTTTTTTATTTTTTTATTTTTTTTTAAATTTTTAAAAAATGCTTTATTTTTAAGAGACAGAGAGAGACAACATGAGTGGGGAAGAGCAGAGAGAGAGAGAGAGAGACACAGGATCCGAAGCAGGCTCCAGGCTCCGAGCCATCAGCACAGAGCCCGATGCAGGGCTCAAACCCACAGATTGCGAAATCGTGCCCTGAGCCGAAGTTGGTCGCTTAACTGACTGAGCCACCCAGGCACCCCTCAGGTTCTGTTTTTTTCAAAAAGACAACTGAGATCTGACAGGGGTTTCATTGTCTCTGCAGACCAGTTGGGGAATGGTGCTATGTTCCCAGGATTAAGTCTTCTGATCCAGGATCACAGGTGTCTTTCCATTTATTTATGTCCTTTATTTCTTTCATTTCATCATGGTGTTCTCAGTGTGCAAGCAATAAATACCTTTTGTTGCATGTACTCCTTACGATTTCATTCTTTTTGAAGTCATCACAAATCAAATGGTTTCCTTAATTTCATTTTCAGATAGTTCACTGATAGTATGTAGAACTATAATCCCTTTTTGTATGCTGATCAGTGTTCTCAGGTCTTATAGGTTTTTGTTTCTTGGGATTTTCTATGTACAAGAGGATATTATCTGTGAATAAATGTAGTTTTGCTCTTTCTCCAACCCGGACGCCTTTTATTTCTTTTTCTTGCCCATTTCTTTATTCGATTTATTCAATTTTTTTTAAAAGTGAATTTTGAAGTTCTTATTTTGAGAAAGAGAGAGAGCAAGCAGGGGAGGGGCAGAGAGAGAATCCCAAGAAGTCTCTGTGCCATCGGTGCAGGACCCCAGGTGGGGCTGGATCCCATGAACTGTGAGATCATCACCTGAGCAGAAACTAAGAGTTGTACGCTTACCCGACTGAGCCACCCGGGCGCCCCCAATTTTTTCTGTCTGAGCATAGTTAACACACGATATAATAGCTGATTTCAATCTTTTGTCTAGTAAGTGCAACAATGGGGCTTCCTGAGGGGCAGGAATACATTGTCCTATTGTGTGTGTGTGTGTGTGTGTGTGTGTGTGCACATGGCAAATTTTTGTTGAAAGATCAACATTTTAGGGGTGCCTGGGTGGCTCGGTGAAGCATCCCACTCTTGATTCCAGCTCAGGTCATGATCTCACAGTTTGTGAGATCGAGCCCCACATTGGGCTCTGGGCTCACAGAGGGGAGCCTGCTTGGGACTCTCTCTCTTCCTCTCTCTCTGCCCCTCCCCTACTTGTGCTCTCTCTCTCTCTCTCTCTCTCTCTCAAAATAAATAAATAAACTTAAAAAAAAAAGGCAGATCAACATTTTAGGTAATATAACATGGCAAGTCTGGAAATCACATTCCCTTTTCCCCAGAGATTGGCTGCTTCTTCTCTTTCTTTATTTAGTGACTTTCCCGAGCTCATTCTATAAATTAGAAGTCAATTGTCCTTGTCGTGGTGGCCACAGAAAGTTCTGCTTGGTTGCTTAGCAGGTCAGCTTACGTTTGGGAGAAGATGTCCTTAAATACCTTGAGCCAATAAGCGCTCCGGACTTTACTGAGAAGGACATCAGTGCCCCAGCAGGGTGGTTCTGAGTTCACCTTCAGTTCCTGCTCATGCCGAGTCTCAAGGTCAGCGGGAGGTGAGAGATTCACAGCCCCCCCACCCAGGTCCTTGCTGGGCACAAGTCCCTGCACACGCACGTGGCCTTTGGCTCCTTGGGAACGCACTCACACGTCCCCCTGGTCTGTAGGCTGGTCTCTCACAGCCCACGTGCTGGTGTTCAGACTGTAACAGTGCCCGGGGGGTGGGAGGGGGGGATGGCGAGCGAAGAGGCCACAGACACCCTATTCTCATCCGGATTCAACTGTTTTATGAACGAACGCGCTCCCAATTGTCGAGGCCTTAGGGGGAATTTCTAGAACTTTAAAAAGTTGATGTTGATGATTTTTGTGAGTGGCCCCCTTGCTTTTGTGGAGGAGCATCATTCTGAAAATGCTTCTTCTCGGGCTTTCAAACTTTCTATCTCAGTCCAGGTAACGACCGATGACGAGCCTGCTTATGACATCCGTGTGCGGGCGGGCGGCTTTTGTTGGTTTGCTCCGTTCGCTGAGCTGGCTTCGTGCAGAAGCTGTTTCCCCCGCCTGGGCCCTAGGTGTCGCGGGGCCTCGTGCCCTGTCGCGGAAACACGTTTCAAGCCCGTTTACATCACATTCCGCAGCTGGGAGCCAGCCCCCAGGCAGCCGCGGCATTAGCTAACCTCTATTACTGGTTTGGGTCATGTTATTCACTTTTGGGCCCCTGGAAAATTCCATTACTCTTTTGCAAGCTCAGCTCTCTTTAAGAGATGTGTGTCATATTTTACCTGGCCGTTCTAAGCTATTTCGTAAATAGGACGGTTCTCGGGTTATCTCGACTGGAATCTTCCTGGACAGGAGAGCTCTCTCTCTCTCTTTAACACTCACGCAAACACACACACACACACACACACCTGCCAGGCAGGGAGCGCTAAGCCGTGACGGGGACAGTGCGTGTGGTTCCCCAGCATGCGGACAGGTGAGAGTCTGACCTGGGTTCGGGGGTCTTCACGTGGCCCCCTCCAGAGGCGATTAGTGAGACAGGGATGAGGTTTCTGGGGTGTACGGACAGCCAGGGGTTCCTGGAGTCCCAGGGCCTCTGCCCACCAGACAGGGGCCTGCCTTTGCTGAAGCAGGACCTTGGAGGCTTCAGGACTATTTGGGGGCCTCAGGAGCACCCCCTCAGCGTTCAGACAGCGAATGTGTCACCCTGAGGTGAGGGTGTTAGGAGGGGGGCCTTGGGGAGCTGACCATGTCTGAAGGGGGGGCCCACGATGGGGCTGGTGCCCTTGTGCAAGACCCCAGAGAGCTCTCTTGTCCCTTCTTGCACGGGAGGACACAGGAGAACACGTCGTCTATGAATCCGGAAGACAATCCCCACGGGGCTCTGAATCTGCCGGTGCCCCACTCTGGACTCCCGGCCTCCGGGGTGCGAGGGGTGAGCATGTGCTGTTGATGTGTCCCCATCAGCTGAGTAGCCCCAGCTGGCACAGAGGGGGTGTCCCCAGCGGACACAGAGGGCGCGTCCCCAGCGGGTACAGAGGGTACATCCCCAGCAGGCACAGAGGACGCATCCCCAGTGGGCACAGAGGGCACATCCCCAGCGAGCACGGAAGACACATCCCCAGAGGGCACAGAGGACGCGTCCCCAGTGGGCACAGAGGGCACGTCCCCAGCGGGCACAGAGGACGCGTCCCCAGAGGGACAGAGGGCGTGTCCCCAGAGGAGACAGAGGACGCGTCCCCAGAGGGCACAGAGGGCACATCCCCAGCGAGCATGGGGGACACGTTCCCAGAGGGCACAGAGGACGCGTCCCCAGAGGGACAGAGGGCACATCCCCAGCGGGCACAGAGGGCACATCCTGGGAGGACCCAGGACGAAGCTGGCACTCCCAGAAGCCACCCCGTTTGTATCAGAGGACTTTCCGAGCTGGGGGTGGGGACGATGGGAGGGCTGGCCAAGGACGCCCAGTGGGGTGACAGGGTCCAAATCCAGAGGGAGAGGTGTGAGGACCAAGGGAGAACGGTGGTGGGTCGTTCAGACGGTGGATGTTTCCTTAGAAGAAGTGTGTGGGGACATCCCAGTCATCGGGATATAAATACCACGTCTCCCTCACCCCTGGCACTTGAACGTATATACATATATGGGCACACAATCTACTTTTTTTTTCCCTTTCCAGCCATTCAGTGGTTTTTATAAGCTCTAAATTTAGAAAGCAACAGAGTGTCTGGGACCGGGCTGCAGGCACTGGGGTTTCTGGGGCCCTGTTTCTGCCACAGCGACCGTTAGGAAGGCCGGCGAAGGATGAGGCCCCAGGGGGTGGAACCGGATCTCGGCCTCGTTCTCAGCGCTCTTGTCCCCGGGGACCTCTCGAGGTCTGTGTCACTCGGACCTCCCGGCCCCCTAGGGCCTCCCTTGCTCCCGGTGCCCCAGCCGCGGGACGCATGGCGTGTGCGTTCTCAGGCAGCGCTGGTCTGTGAAAGCCTGCGGGGGGACGGGAAGGACCGGGGCCGGGCCCTGGGGCCTCAGAGAAGGCAGAGATGGCTGTAAGCCTCCCCAGGGGACAGCTGACTTCCAGGGCGGGGCGAGTCCTGCCCATCGACACTGGCGCACCGGGCAGACGGAGCCTCTGGTCCAGCGGGGGGTCCGAGCGGCCCCAGCAGCACCCACGCGCTCTTGTCTCAGGAAACGCACCTTCCCCGGGCACGGGTCCCGGTGAGTCTGCGACCTCCATCCCTGCGGAATCTTCCGGAAAGGGAGCCGGTGCCATCGACCACAGCCCCACGGCCCCGACGGATCTCAGGACCGTGACAGGCACTCGCCGCGCCCCGTCCTCTGTCTTGCCTGCCTCGGGGCCGGGACTCCTCCTGGTCCAGCTGAGCTGACAGCCTGGGTCCTACGCCTTTTCAGGCTGTCAACCCCAAGCTGACCCGTTCAGAGCTACAGCCGGGCACTCGAGCACAGCAGGTGCACACGTGGGCGTGTCCCAGTCCCTGGCATCCCAGACACCAGACTCCTCAGGCTCGGCCGCCGCCAGAGTCAGCCTTTCGCGCCTGGGGGTCTCCTGACACCGTCCGGCGAGAGCGACCAGGCAGGACCGTCCGAAACTCATGAGGGCTCTTCCTAGCGTGACCTCGGTGACACGCGTCCTCTGGGCACCAGAACGTCTGAACCCACACGGCCAAAGGTGGGGGGTGGGGGGCTCACAGTCAGCCACTCGGGATGGGTGGGACCACCTGTGTGCCCGCCCGCTTCCCGAATCCGTGGATGCTACTAACGCGGCCACAGCGCCACCCACCTGTCGCTGGCTCTGGGAGGAGACCACGGGCAGAGGAGCGGCTCCGCATTCACAAAACGCCGTGTCTGCGCCGCATCTATAGGGGCCCGGGTGCGGTGCTGGAAAAGCAGGAAGAGCAAGCCCGCGCCCGGAGCGCACGCCAGGCCCCAGGTGGAGAGCCGGCCTTCCCAGCCCGGAAACGGTTCCACGGGACAAGGGCCGCCGAGCGGCCGGTTGGTATCTTTGCGGGGTGGTGTCGCAGCGGGGCCCAGGGTCAGTCTCTGATACCGAGACGGGTAGCGGACGGGTCCAGACGATGGCGCCAACATGCAGCCCAGCCATGCCCCCTGGCACTTGATCCGCGCATCCATCGCTCGAACTCGGAGGAAGCTGGGGGAGGAGGTGGTGGGGAGCTGGCCCAGGCACCCCGCGCCCTCAGTTGCTGGTGCCCTTGCACAGCGGAAGCTCCCCGCGCATGCCGACGGGGGCTTGTGTGCCCACCCTCAGAGGCCCGTGCGCGCGCCCCGTGCCCAGTGCACCCCGTCCCTGAGCAGCTCCCCCCGCCGCGGCCCACTGTCCGCGAATCAGCCCGTCTGCTCCTGGGGCCGCTTCTCCCCACGCAAAGCTCGGCCCATCGGGGGGTGGGGGCTCCTTCCTTGGTTCCACCTGTGCCTGGAGGGCCCGGTCCCCTTGCGGCTGGTGCCGCGGTTCCTAAGCTAAAGCCCCGAACCCCCACGGGGTGGCGGTAGGAGGCAGCACCTTGCGGGGGGGGGGTCATTCGGGTGAGATGAGGTCACAGGGTGAGCCCCCCGGGGGAGCAGGAGAAGACTGAGCTCTCCCCCCTTTCTCCCGCCGCCCCCCCCCCCACCTCGACCCGTGAGCAAGAGGGCAGCCGCCTGCCAGGAAGGGAGCGCTCACGGAAACGGAATGTGCTGGCGCCTTGATCATGGGCGTCCAGCCTCCAGATCAGCGAGAAGATGTCTGTCCTTGAAGCCTTGGGTCCCGGGTGTGTTCTGTTCCAGCAGCCCGAGCGGACCCCCCGAATCCCACCTCTAGGACTGGACCCCAAAGAGCCGAGGACGCCCCGGGCAAAGGTGCGTGCGTGAGGGGGTCCATTGCCCACCGCTCACCTCTGCCGGCTCTGAGCAGGCCGGACGGACCCTCGGCAGGTTCGCAAACCCTGCCCAAGGTGTGGGGGGCCCCAGCCAGGGCGTGGGGAGCACTCGGCAAAGGTGCGGGCCAACAGCCAGCGCAGATGGGGCCCCTCGGGGCCTGCCCGTCGGGATTTCAGCTCTTCCTGGGAGCGTCCGTCCCCAGCGGCCCAGGCCTTGTGGCCACGTCCTGGGGGAGGGCCCGGCTGTGGCTGCATACCCAGGGAGCAGAGAGGGGCCGGAGGCCAGGGCACCTGAGCCCTGGGGCTTGGCCCACAGTACGGGCCCCCGGCTGCCGCAAACCCAGCGTGGCCCTGACCCCGGGGCCTGGACACCACACGTGGCTGCCTCTCTGGCCGGGCTTGGTGGTGATGCCTCCCCCCGCAGGGGCCTCTTTAATATACCAGGTCAGGGCTGGTCAGGAAATACCCTAAGCCAGAGAGCCAGTGCTATGACAGGCAAAGAGCCAGGGAGGGTGACACGATTCCTGCCCCAGGGCCTTTGCTCGCCCCATGCCGCTCCCTTGCCATGCTGGAATGCTCTGTTTCCAGGTCTCCCTTGTGCTCTTGGCCTTGGCTTTGGGGTCTCAGCTCAGGGGGGGACACCCCCGACCACCGGGTTTAACTTGTCCCCCAGCCCAGTCTGTCCTTACCGTGTTTCATGTTATGTGTTATTTTCCTCACGGCATATCTGCCCCTCCGACACCATCTGGATGTGTGTTTGTTAACTGGCCTCTGCCCCACCCCACCGCCTCCCGACCGTCCCCAGCGTGCCCAGCCCTGCCTAGGGGGCCGATGGCAGGTGCACGGTGGAGGGGGGGATGGCAGCCGTCACAGAGGGCGGGCGGCGGCCAGACAGGGCGCAGGGTCACTTGGCACAAGGGGGGACCCTGGCCTCGTCCACACTAAACCGTTCATGTGATGTCCTCAGAGGTTCGGCGGCAGGAGGGGACAGGCAGGGAAGCCGCTGCACTTGGCCCTCCCCTGCTGAGCCAATGGGGCCCATTGCTCTGCCCCGCCCGCGAGGCGGACCCCCGTCTGCAGCTCCTGACGTCCGTCAAGCTCCCTTTCCTGGCTTTGGTCGCTTCCGGCTAACCGATCTTGTGGACATCTTGGGAGCTTGGTGACAAGACCCGAGGGCAGGTAACGGTTACCCACCCCCACCCCCGGCTCTCGCGAGGCGCAGGGTGGGTGTTTCAAGTCTCCGCCGGCCGAGTCCCGGCGCCCCTCTCTTGGGAGTCTGGGCGGGACCGGCGGGGCCCGCGGAGAAGGGGGCCGGTTTCTATTCTTAGGTTGAATTCCCTTCTGGAAGGCTCCGGGCGTGTCTGTGGCACAGATGCCCGGGGGCCAGAGCTCCCTGGCTCACTTGCCTTCCTCGTGTGTCTCCTTCCTCCCAGCCAGAGGGACAGGGCTTCTCTCTCTCCTGCCTTAGAGCAAGACGTCTGTCCGTGTTTAAGGCTCCTGAATGGAAAACACCAACCACCCGCACACCCGGCGCCGTGGAGCTTAGGACACGAGGCCAGGGACGCCCAGCTCTGCGGCTCTGAGACTGCACACACGGGACAGCCCGCCCCAGCCGCGTTTCAGATAAACGCGGACGATGTTCAGCGTGGGCCCGTCTCCTGGCAGCCCCACGCGTGCACGGCCGGGGAAGACTCTGGAAGACGCGCGCACGCCCCCCGACCGAAGAGACGCGTCAGGAACCCTCGCGGGTGAGCGAGGCCGCGGCGCCCGTGAAACGCGAGCGGAGGTGACACGTGTCCCTTCCAGGCAGAGGGGCCGACCCGCTCTCCCGTGGCCCTCGGCGTCTTTCTTACCACGGGGACAGATGGCCCATGGACAGCGTGGAGGCTCCCGCTGGCCCGGGTCTCGGATCCGCGGGCAGCTGATGGCACAGACTCAGGACGCGGAAAGCGTCCCCGGGGGCTGGGCGCCCAGAGCGGGCCGGCCTTCCCGCGTCGTGTCCAGCCGGCGACGGGAGCCCGGCCGGCTGCTCGACACCTGCCCTTGGCGGACGCCCTCAAGGGAAGAGAAGAAAGAGAAGAGACACGTCGCTGCTCCCATGGGAGCCCGCGGGACGGAGCCCTTGGATTGCCCAGCTCGTCTGTGATTCCTTCCCTCCTGTCGTGGGATCCCCAGATCCCGCCCTTGAGGGAGCTGCTTCCTCTTCAGGGGGTGGACACTGGGTCTCCGGGAAGGGCCAGGGGCTGCCCAAAGCACCTTGTTCTCATCCGTCCATTCATTCATTCATTCGTCCATCCGTCCCAACGGTTGTCATTGGGGCACGTGCCAGGCTGGCAGCACTGGGACACTAGGCTCCCAGAGCCCGTCCTGGAACACGAGCTCTGCTGGGAGAGACAGACAGACCCGATCACGGTCAGAGACTAGCTGGAGGCGGTCAGAACTTGCAAGGACGAGTGTGGGAGGCAGAGACTCCCTCCGCTGTGGCTCCGGACACGGTTCCAGTCCTGACCGCTGGAACTCAAGGCCCTGGTGGGCAGGCCCGCACCTGTGCGCCCGGTCTGGCAGCCGCCAGCCGCACGTGCCCGGGGCCCCGAGCGTCTTATTCTGACCGACGCCAACGTCTGTGGTCACAGGTGTCTGAGTTGCCGCACGGATCTCTCAGGCTTAGAGGCTGCTGGCATCTGGGAATTGGGAGGAAAGCCTCTCCAGGCAGAGAGACGAGCCCCTGAAGCCCGAGGAGCTGGAGAGAAGCCGGGGGGGTGGGGTGGGGAGGACAGAGGGGAGGATCGGGACTCAGCAGTCTGCACGCAGATTTTATTCAGCCTGAAGGAGAAGTGTAGATGGTGGTACCAGGGTTATGACCAAGTGACTTGCACGTTTTCTAGATCCTTCCGGCTGCTGCTTCTCCCACCCAGGGCAGCGGGTCTGTGCCGGGGGCTGATGCCACCGACCTGGCTGCCCCCGGCCTGAGCAGGGGGGCGGCTGTCAGTGGGAGGGAGCCGTGGGCGGAGCAGGGGCGCGGGACTGAGGCCCACAGCTGCGGTTTCCTGTGCGGCAGGTCGGGAAACCCCTGTGGTGGCTCCAGGCTCCGGGCGCCGGGCTCGGGTCCCCCAACCCGCCCGCAGTGGCCGCCCAGACCTCAGACCCAACCCCCCCACTGCTCCGCCCAGGGACGCTTCCCCAGAGTGCCACGGAATGTCACGGAATGTGCCACTCCTAACAGACAGACGGTGTTTGTTTCTCGAGAAATCTTGCCCCCACCCCCTAGCATCCTAGATCTGCTTCCAGTCGCCCAGAATCGGACAGCGCCTCGTGGCACAGAGGAGACGTGCACGGGACGTGGCTGGGGGACCACAGGGAGGGCCCGGTGCCGAGACCCAGGTCGGGGGGGCGGCCTCCCCCCCCCGCCGAGTGCTGCTCTGGGCTCTGCTCCTCCTAGAAGATGCTCCCCGGCCTCCGCCAGCCAAGCCGGGAACAGATGCTCCTCTTTGGAGCCTTCCAAGTGAAGGTCCCACGGATGCCGTTTAATAGAAAAGGCGACAGTCAGGAAAGGGGGAAATGGATCATTTTCGAAAGGTGAGTTGGGGGCTGTTTCGCGTCCCCGGACAGTGCCTCGGGGATCAGAGCGCCGGGTGCCGCCTCAAAGCAGACTCAAGGAGGGGAGGGGCCGGAAGGGTGACACCGTTCGTCACCGTCACATCGAGAAGAAGGGTGCACGTTGCAGCCACACGGCGCACACGTCGGACAGCCGTTCCCAGAACCTCCCTCCGCTGTCTTCCTACGGGACGCAGGCGCAGGCCTTACGACGACAGAAACGCGTCCCCTCCCTGGGCGCCAGGTGCGGGCAGGGCTGGCCCCTCTGGGGGCCCCGAGGGAGGGTCTGGGCTGGTGCGTCCGCCCTTTCTCCTGAGCACACCCGCCACTGGATTTGGAGCCCGTTCTCATCCAAGACGACCTCATCTTATCTGGCCAGATTCTGAGGTTTCAGGTGGCCGTGACTCTTTGAGGGACACCGTCAGCTCACGGCACACAGCTCTGCAAAGCCTTCAAAACCGAACACGAACCCTGCGGCCCGCATCGCCCCCGCCCCAGGCTGTCCCCAGCTCCTGGTGGCCCCGGCCGCTTTCCCGGTCTGCGGCTGACCGCGGGCTCTCCCTCCTCGGAGGCGCCTTGGCCGTGCCGGGCCTGCGGTCGGACCTGCCACCCTGCCCCGTCCGCCCCCGTGATGGGGACCGGGCCGCCGAGTGCACAGCGCTTGTGCGAGCGGGTCCCCCCTGAGCTGTCGGAGGGGCGGGTGTCCGCGGGGAGGGGGCAGCGCCCTCGGCTCCCCTCGGCAGACTCGCCGTGGACAAAAATCCTTTCACCTGGAATAGGAACTCCGCGGAGATGATAAATCTTCTTGCCCCCTCGTCTGGCTTTCAGAAACGACGCCTGCCACTTACGGTATGAAAAATGCCGGCGAGCCGGCTGCGAGCGGCACGTGGTAAAAAGGTTAGTCCCCGTACCTCGGGCTCACAACCCGCCACCCTGCCCCCACCCCGCACACAAAGCCTTTTCTTTCTCCAGCTGGAACCACGAACACCACATGAATGCAAAGAGCTCTTTCAACCTTAGATTTTAAATTATTTGAATTAAAGCTGGGATCCTTCCGGGCCTTGTGCTTTCCTGGTTATTTATCACTGGCTAAATGTACGGGTCTGCCGAGCATCTCCAGGGACCGCCCTCACTTAGACGCGGCCTCGGAGATGTTATAAACTATTTAAAACCGAAGGCTTGGCCGTGTCTGGCTGCAGGGAGGGCGAGCACGCTCTGCTCGTCGGAAGCTCTTTGGGAAAACGGGGGACTCGCCACTCGGTCATTCGCCCTGGCTTTCCTCTGGGTAATCACTTTAATACACTTGAAAATAAGCCTTTCCCCACTGAGGCACGGTGATTTTCCCCCCCCCCGGTTTGGCAAACATGGATTTTTTTTCCCTCCCCCATCCCCCTTCCCCCGCCCTGTCCTGTCTCGCCTGAAACTAACAAGCTTCCTTTTGTTCCAGGGACACCCCAGCCACCCCGATTTGCTGACACTTCCGCCGGGCGCCAGCAGGGGGCGGGAGACCCTCTTTTTTGAGGGCCACACTAAGGTGCTCCCGCCGGACCCGCCATGGGTCTGGGGCAGGCAGGGTGACTGTCGACACCGAGACCCGGGGACGAGGGAGGCCGAGATGGCTCCCCTGGGTGCCTGGGGAGAGGACGGCTCAGGTCAGGGACGCGACACGTTGAAGCCATCAGAACGGGCAGCAGCAGCGGTTTAAGTTCACGAGGCCAGCGGAGAGCCCCCCGCTAATCTGTCAGGGACCCCACTGCCGCTGAGGAAACAGAGGCCAGAGAGGCCACGCTTGGGTGACCAGCGCTCCGGTGGATGTGGACAGCCTCCAAGGTAGCCCCTGAGAATCCTACCTCCGGGCGCGTGCCCCTTCACGTGCACGCCTCCCCATGGGCTGGGCCGGCAGATGGCCCTCGGAACAACAGAAGGCGGCACAAATGACTGGACGTCCTTCCCGGGATCAGGTATAAAAGGGCTGTGGCTCCCGACCTGGGCGAGACGCCTCACGCGGCGAGGGATGGAGGCCTGCCCACAGGCCCGTGTGTGAACTTGGAAGCAGACCCCCCCCACCCCGGCCTCCCCGTGGACCCTTCAGATGAGACCGCGGCCCCAGCCTCCGGCACCCAGCTGAGCGGAGCCCGGATTCCAGGCCCACAGAGACCTCGAGATGAGAACTGACAGCTGTTTTCAGCGGCCAAGTGTCGTGTTAACTCATTGGGCGGGGCTAGGTGACGACACCACAGCCCCTCTCTGGGTCGTGTGCGGCCTCCCCTCCCCCGAGGTGCTCGCTGGGCTCCCGCCTCCTCACCTGGTCCCTGCTCATCAACACACTCTGTTCTCGCTGAGCAGGTGCAGAGCATGGGCTGAGTTGTGTCCCCCACATTCTTAGGCTGAAGTCCTGACCCCCAGACCTGTGCAAATGGCCCTACCTTGGTGGTGATATAATTAAGATGAGGCCACCAGGGTGGCCCTAATCCAATATGACCGACGTTCTTATACAGAGGGGAAACTGGCCACAGACCCGTGCAAGGGGTGAATGCCACAGGAGGATTGGGGTTCTGCTGATGCCAGGAGCCACCAGGAGCCTGGAGACAGGCCTGGAGGGTCCCTCCCCGGGGAGGCGTGTGGCCTCTAGGGCCGCCTGGCTGCATGTCTGTGGTCAAGCCGCCCTGGCCGCGGGCTCCGTCACAGCAGCCCCAGGTCACAGGTGGTTCCAACCCCCCTGTCCTTTCCCCCGGGAGGCTCCATGACACCCGGAGAGGAAGGGACTCTTGGAGCGGTAGGTCCCTCCTCCTCTAAAAACCGGGGCTCAGATCCTGGCAGCCTCTGCCCCGGCATAAGCGTGTGTCCCTTTGGCCATGGGGCACCTGAATCAGACCTCTAACGTACACACCAAGCCTACGAAGACGGACGTACAGGACATCCCACTCTTGTGATCGTTTAAACCTTGACAGCGGAAAACTCACTCAGTGCAAACCCTGAAGAGAGCTACACGGTCAGAAGAATCGGGTGAAGTGGGCAGCCGGTCGCTGAGCAGCCGCTCGGAAGGCGGAGCCCGAGCTCTGCAGGCCCCTTGAAAACAGAAACTCACGACGCGTACCGGAGGGAAGGGCGGGCCGCGTCCAGTCTGTTCACCTCCGCTCCGTCCTGCTGGGGCTGGAGCCTCGCCAGCCTCCGACGGGGTGCAGGATGGCCATGGCCCCACGGCCCCCCACCCCATGCAGGCATCGTCCCGTGAAGGGGAGATGAGACGGTGGGACCCCAAGGTTTCCGGGTCTAGGAGCGGGGAGAACGGTGGTTCACAAGCCTGTCTCTTGTTCCCCTGGAGGCAGGTGAAGCCCCGGCCCAGCCCCGCCGCCCCCCCCCCCCCCCCCCCGCCCCCGCCCCCGCCACTGCCGGCTGGCCTCCCCTCTGCCCCTCCCCCCTCTGCTTTCCTGCCTTCCATGCAGAGGCTCCCGGCAGCTCAGCACGTCTGGGCTCTCCCCCCTCTCCTCTGCGTCCCGGCCTAGATCGTCTTCCGCCTGCCCTGCAGCTGGGTGGGGCCGGTCACGCTGCGGGTTCCTGCCGCAGAGGGGCGGACGGGACAGTGCCTGGGATGGGCTGAATGTCTGTTTTCTCCCACCAGATTCCTACGCTGAAGCCCTGGTGTGACGGTGTCGGGAGGGGGCCTTTGGGAGGTGGTTAGTGTCAGATGAGGTCGCGAGGGTGGGCCCCACAGCGGGATTAGTGCCCGTCCAAGGAGAAGGAGAGACCCCAGCCCTCGCTCCGCCCTGCGAAGACCCAGAGGGAAGGTGGGAGTCCACAGGCCGGGCCAGGAAGCAGGGCCTCACCGGGACCAGGCCCCGCCGGCACCCCCGCTCTCGGACGTCCGGCCCCCAGAGGCGCGAGACACGGACGTCTGTTGTTAAAGCTGCTCTGTCTGTGCTGTTCCGTTATGGCGCCCGAGTTGCCCAGGACGGCCCCCCGACGGCAACGGCTGGGTCTCGGGGCAGGCCTGGAGCTGTGCCCACCCACACGGGGCCTGATGCCCCCGAGATGTGGGCTCAGGTTACCGTGGTTAGCGGTCCGGTGGCCGCCACCCGCCACAAGGAGAGAGCCTCCTCTCCTGCCTGCCCTGTGGTCAGGCGGACCAGGCACGGAGCCCTGGAGTTGCTGCACGGAAGGCCTCTGTCCTGATGGATCGGGAACCTGGGTCCCCCCAGAGCTGCCTCGGGTCTCCGGCCATACCCGCCACGATGAGGGGTCCACTTCTCATCAGCATGTACCTGGGTGAAGTTCATCACCCGCCGGGGCTGGGCCCCCACTCCCGCCGGGCCACAGAGCCACGTGTCCTGGGAAGTTTCCCTCTGCCTCCACACCATCAGCGGCCTGAGCGCTTGGGGACGCCACAGGCCAGCCCACCACAGCGTATTTGACCGCAGATGCAGAAGGCACGGCAGGCCACCTGACTGCTGGCCACAGGCCACCCCCACGAGGCGATAATTTAGGCAGATATTGAACAGTATATGAGAATTCAGGGGGAGGGGCGCAGGGAAGGGCCCTGCACCCCGACGCTCTCACCTATGTGACAAAGGCCAGCCATCACTGAAAATGACCAGGCACCTGTCACAGCGCCTGGCAGGAGGTGGTGCGTGAAGTGGGGCGGGGCGAGGGTCGGGGGGGGGATGGGGTGCACGTACAGCGCGTCCCCGTTGTAGTTTGAAATCTAAAACCCTAAGGAACACGCCAAGGTATCAGCAGTGCTTAGTGTGACCGGGTTGGCTCTACTTCTTATCAGCTTTATAATGCTTTTTCTTATGTTTGCCAAATTTCCTCCAACAAATGTGTTTAGAAAACACATTTTGTAGGTGCTGGGGACCAGCGCTCCATGAGGGTGGGGGACAAAAAGCAGGAGAGGGGTGGTCTGGCCTCAGACTGTCTCTCCCCCCAAATAGGCCTGCCTCATCTTCCCTGCCCAGCAGTGTCTCCACAGCGCCACCCTGAACCGTGGAAATCTCTGCCAAGGGCTGTGTCGCCGAACTCCCAAGAGGATGTCAGCTCAACACCAATTCCTTCCTTCTGCCCCCTGAATCCTGACTTGTTGCTGTCACGTTGGCTGCCGTGAGCCCGGTCTGCCCATCCAGGCCAGTTTAGTGAGTCAGGCTCATGGGAGGCTGACAGAAGAGTCACCTAACGATGTTATTCCTGACCCAACTGGCTGGAAGGGGACAACGGTAGGCAGGGCTCATGATTGCTGTGCTGTCAGCTGTAGGGGCCCCATGGGCTCAGCTGAAACCCAGAGGTCAGAAAGAAAGGAGGTAGATAAAGACAAGTGAGTATGCTGACTTCAGCTACCGAGAGAAGAGAGGGGGATGGGAGAGATAATTGAAGAGGAGGTTGGATGGATAGATGGGTGGGGATAGGTGAGTGGTGGATGGATGGATGGATGGATGGATGGATAGATGGATGGATGAGTGGATGGGTGGGTGGGTGGGTGGATGGATGGGTGGATAGATAGATGGATGGTGGATGGATGGAAGGATGGAAGGATGGATGA